GGGAATTTCCTCTTCGTCTACGGTTACTGTAGTTTCAGGTGCTTTGCCCTCTTCTTCAACAGTAACGATTTCGGTTTTTTCTTGTTTCCCGTCTATTTTCTTCATAAAAACTCGCTTTTTGATAGTTTTCTTTTTGGTAATTCCATCTTCGAGTACAGTTGTTTCTTGTACTTGCTCTGGTAGTTCTTTTACAATACTTCCACGTTCTTCGGGAATATCCTCTTCCTCAACCGTAACTGTAGTTTTAGGTGCTTTGCCTTCTTGTTCGACGGTAACGGTTTCGGTCTTTTCTTGTTTGCCGCCTTTTTTCTTTTTGATAACTTTCCTTGTGGTAGTTCTCTTTCTGGGAATTCCATCTTCAATTATAGTGGTTTCTTGAACTTGTTCTGGTAGTTCTTCTACGATGTATTCAGGCTCTTCGGGAATTTCCTCTTCCTCTACAGTAACTGTAGTTTCAGGTTCTTTGCCTTCCTGTTCAACGGTGACAATTTCGGTCTTCTGTTGCTTACCGTCTTTTTTCTTTTTAATAACTCTTTTTTTGATAGTTCTCTTTTTGGGAATTCCGTTTTCAATTACAGTAATTTCTTGAACTCGTTCTGGTATTTCTTCTACGATGTATTCAGGCTCCTCGTAAATGTCCTCTTCCTCTACAGTAACTGTAGTTTCAGGTGCCTTACCTTCTTGTTCAACGGTAACGATTTCGGTCTTTTGTTGCTTGCCATCTTTCTTCTTTTTAATTACTCGCTTTTTGATAGTTTTCTTTTTAGAAATTCCATCTTCGAGTACTGTTGTTTCTTGTACTTGCTCTGGTAGCTCTTCTACAATATATTCAGGTTCTTCGGGAATATCCTCTTCCTCAACCGTAACTGTAGTTTTGGGTGCTTTACCTTCTTGTTCAACAGTAACGATTTCGGTCTTCTCTTGTTTCCTGCCTTTTTTCTTTTTGATAACTTTCCTTTTGATAGTTCTCTTTCTGGGAATTCCATCTTCAATTATAGTGGTCTCCTGAACTTGTTCTGGTAGTTCCTCTAAAATGTATTCAGGCTCTTCGGGAATTTCCTCTTCCTCAACCGTCACTGTAGTTTTAGGTGCTTTGCCTTCTTGTTCGACGGTAACGATTTCAGTCTTTTCTTGCTTGCCATCTTTCTTCTTTTTGATTACACGCTTTTTGATAGTTTTCTTTTTAGAAATTCCATCTTCAATGACAGTTGTTTCTTGAACTTGTTCTGGTAGTTCTTCTACGATGTATTCAGGCTCGTCGGGAATTTCCTCTTCCTCTGCGGTAACTGTAGTTTCAGGTGCTTTGCCTTCCTGTTCAACGGTGACAATTTCGGTCTTTTGTTGCTTACCGTCTTTTTTCTTTTTAATAACTCTTTTTTTGATAGTTCTCTTTTTGGGAATTCCGTCTTCAATTACAGTAATTTCTTGAACTCGCTCTGGTAGTTCTTCTACGATGTATTCAGGCTCTTCGAGAATTTCCCCTTCCTCTACGGTTACTGTAGTTTCAGGTGCTTTGCCTTCTTCTTCAACAGTAACGATTTCGGTTTTTTCTTGTTTTCCGTCTTTTTTCTTCTTAATAACTCGCTTTTTGATAGTTTTCTTTTTAGAGATTCCATCTTCAATGACAGTTGTTTCTTGAACTTGTTCTGGTAGTTCTTCTACGATGTATTCAGGTTCTTCGGGAATATCCTCTTCCTCAACCGTGACTGTAGTTTTGGGTGCTTTGCCTTCTTGTTCGACGGTAACGATTTCGGTCTTTTCTTGCTTCCCGCCTATTTTCTTTTTGATAATTTTCCTTTTGATAGTTCTCTTGCTGGGAATTCCATCTTCAATTATAGTGGATTCTTGAACTTGTTCTGGTAGTTCCTCTACAATGTATTCAAGCTCTTCGGGAACTTCCTCTTCCTCTACAGTAACTGTAGTTTCAGGTGCTTTGCCTTCTTGTTCAACGGTGATGATTTCGGTCTTTTCTTGCTTACCATCTTTCTTCTTTTTGATTACTCGCTTTTTGATAGTTCTCTTTTTAGAAATTCCATCTTCAATTACAGTAGTTTCTTGAACTTGTTCTGGTAACTCTTCTACAATGTGTTCAGGTTCTTCGAGAATTTCTTCTTCCTCTACGGTAACTGTAGTTTCAGGTGCTTTGCCTTCTTCTTCAACAGTAACGATTTCGGTTTTTTCTTGTTTCCTGTCTTTTTTCTTCTTAATAATTCGCTTTTTGATAGTTTTCTTTTTAGAGATTCCATCTTCAATGACAGTTGTTTCTTGAACTTGTTCTGGTAGTTCTTCTACGATGTATTCAGGTTCTTCGGAAATATCCTCTTCCTCAACCGTAACTGTAGTTTTGGGTGCTTTACCTTCTTGTTCGACGGTAACGATTTCGGTCTTTTCTTGCTTCCCGCCTATTTTCTTTTTGATAACTTTCCTTTTGATAGTTCTTTTTCTGGGAATTCCATCTTCAATTATAGTGGTTTCTTGAACTTGTTCTGGTAGTTCCTCTACAATGTATTCAGGCTCTTCGGGAATTTCCTCTTCCTCTACAGTAACTGTAGTTTCAGGTGCTTTGCCTTCTTGGTCAACAGTAACAATTTCGGTCTTTTCTTGCTTGCCATCTTTCTTCTTTTTGATTACACGCTTTTTGATAGTTTTCTTTTTAGAAATTCCATCTTTAATGACAGTTGCTTCTTGAACATGTTCTGGTAGTTCTTCTACGATGTATTCAGGCTCTTCGGGAATTTCCTCTTCCTCTACGGTAACGATAGTTTCAGGTGCTTTGCCTTCTTGTTCAACGGTAACGATTTCGGTCTTTTGTTGCTTGCCATCTTTCTTCTTTTTAATTACTCGTTTTTTGATAGTTTTCTTTTTAGAAATTCCATCTTCAATGACAGTTGTTTCTTGAACTTGTTCTGGTAGTTCTTCTACGATGTATTCAGGCTCTTCGGGAATTTCCTCTTCCTCTACGGTAACTGTAGTTTCAGGTGCTTTGCCTTCTTGTTCAACGGTAACGATTTCGGTCTTTTGTTGCTTGCCATCTTTCTTCTTTTTAATTACTCGTTTTTTAATAGTTTTCTTTTTAGAAATTCCATCTTCGAGTACAGTTGTTTCTTGTACTTGCACTGGTAGTTCTTCTACAATGTATTCAGGTTCTTCGGGAATATCCTCTGCCTCAACCGTAACTGTAGTTTTGGGTGCTTTGCCTTCTTGTTCGACGGTAACGATTTCGGTCTTTTCTTGCTTCCCGCCTATTTTCTTTTTGATAACTTTCCTTTTAATAGTTCTCTTTCTGGGAATTCCATCTTCAATTATAGTGGTTTCTTGAACTTGTTCTGGTAGTTCCTCTACAATGTATTCAGGCTCTTCGGGAATTTCCTCTTCCTCTACAGTAACTGTAGTTTCAGGTGCTTTGCCTTCTTCTTCAACGGTGACGATTTCAGTCTTTTCTTGCTTGCCATCTTTCTTCTTTTTGATTACACGCTTTTTGATAATTCTCTTTCTAGAAATTCCATCTTCAATTACGGTAGTTTCTTGAACTTGTTCTGGTAACTCTTCTACAATGTGTTCAGGTTCTTCGCGAATTTCTTCTTCCTCTACGGTAACTGTAGTCTCAGGTGCTTTGCCTTCTGGTTCAACAGTAAGGATTTCGGTCTTTTCTTGCTTTCCGTCTTTTTTCTTTTTAATAACTCTCTTTTTGATAGTTTTCTTTTTAGAAATTCCATCTTCAATTACAGCTGTTTCTTGTACTTGCTCTGGTAGTTCTTCTACAATATATTCATGCTCTTCGGGAATTTCCTCTTCCTGTACAGTAACTGTAGTTTCAGGTGCTTTGCCTTCCTGTTCAACGGTGACAATTTCGGTCTTCTCTTGCTTGCCGTCTTTTTTCTTTTTAATTACTCGCTTTTTGATAGTCTTCGTTATTCCGTCTTCAATGACAGTGGTTTCGTGAAGTTGCTCTGGTAATTCTTCCACTACATATGTAGGCTCTTCCGCCTCTTCAACTGTGACGGTAGTCTCCGAACCTTTGCCTTCCAGTTCTACAGTAACAATTTCCGTTTTTTCTTGCTTGTCGCCTTTCTTCTTTTTAATAACCCGTTTTTTAACAATTTTCTTCCTGGGAACACCATCCTCCATGACCAAAGTCTCCTGAATTTCTTCCGGTAATTCTTCAACAACCAATGTTAATTCTCCTGGCTTTTCTGTTACAACATCACTTTTTTTACCACCCTTAAGTTTACGCGTTTTTATTTCAATGGTTTCTGTAGTGATATCTTCAGGACTTGTAACTCGCGCAGGTATATCTTCAGGCATTTCTTCAACTGTATATTCCGAACTTTGTAAAGTAGGTTCTCCATCGCTTAGCTCCTCAATAATCGGACCTTCTTTTTCAACTACTTGAGGTGCTGTTTCAGATATAACTTCTTCAATAACAGTATCACCATCACCAGGCTTCCTATGCTTCTTCCTAATAATTGTTCTCTTGGTCACTACTTGGGCAGACTCCTCACCATCTGGCGTCGACCTAAATCTAGTAACAAACTCCTGCGTTTCTTCAGAGGCATCCGAATGCCGCCTTATAATGGGTTTGTGTTCGTCTGCTAGTTCAGTGGTGGTTGGAGAGGTTTGAATGACGATTGCGTGTGTTTTTTGTGATGGTGTAGAGGTGGTGTCTTCCAGTGGTCCTGTAATTTAAGGCGGTTAATGGACCTTTACACCATATAATTTGTAGGTGAATAAACATGGAAACGCGAATGATGTGTAAACCTGTTCAGTGTCGGTTTGTTATTTGAGAGATTTGAGGCTACATATCTTATTTCAAGCTATGGTAAACTATTTCAGGGAAATTTTGGAAAATGTAGGAAGCATACCAAAGAGTTTTTTTTCTGCTCTAGATTTAAAAAATTATATTGAATGCAAAAAAATTTTCTTGGAATTTTTCATCCTATACTTTCCAAATGTTATTTCCAGCCTAGCTACCACTTTCAAGGTGAAGGGGATAAACTTACCAGAGTGTTCGTGTAACAGGACTTCGTTTATCAGCAAACTAGGATTTCTTATGTCTTCCAGAGCAATGTGAACAGTCTTCTTATTGGGAGTTTCGAGATCTAATTGTGTAACATTACCTGAGACCGTTTGTTCAGTAACTATTAGGCTTTGTTTTGTGTCTACGTAGTCACTTTGAGCTTTAGAAGTTTTTGTGATGTCTGGTTTAATTTCGCCAAAGGTTTCTAGAGTCTGGATATCTAAGCTAATTCCGACAGGCTTATGCTCTATTTGCTTATCAGCTGTAGTTTCTGTAGCACTGAATGTGGAAACTTGATCTCCAAGATTTCCTTGAACGATAGTTTCTGTGATTGTTAAACTTTCTTTTGTAACAATATCTAGATTCGCTGATTTTTCGGAAGGCTTTTCAAGTTCTAATAATTGTGTGGAGCCTTGAATTGTTACAGTAGACTCGATTAGGCTTTCAAAAGTATCTTTATGGGAGGTAGCTGTTTGTATTGGAGCTTGTTTGTCTTGTGGCATAGAAGCAATATTTTCTAAAGCCTCAATATCACTAGTTTCAAAGGCTTTAAATTCAGTTATTGAAGTAAAAGCTGCATCTGATTTTGGTTTTATAGATTTAAAATCAGATTCTTGTTGTTGAGGTATAATTTCTGCTACAGTGGCAATTTTGCTAGCTTCCTCAAGCTTAACGTCAACTTCCGTAGATGATGGTAATGTAAATTTATCCATTTCCTTGATGTTTTCATAAGCTTTTATGTCTTGACTTTCTAGAGTTTGATTTTCTAGTAACGACGCAACAGCTCTGCCTTCTTCAGGAATATCCGGTTTTAAATTTTGCTCCATTTGTGACAAAATCACTTCGGTTACTGAAGCAATTTTACTGGCCTTTTCAATATTCAGATCCACTTTATCTTCAGTAGGCTCATGCTTTTTAATATCTTTACCTAAAGTTTCATAAACTTTGACTTGTTCTTCCTCCACAGGCCTTAATTCAGTTAGAGCCACCTGAGCAGTATCCTCTAGAGGCTTTTGCTCTTTCAATAATTCCTCATTAACGCATGTTAAAACTTCTGTAATATTCGCTGCTTTATTTGTTTCAGTAATATCAATATTCGCTGACGCATCTGTAGGAGCCTTATCTTTCATTAACTGTCCTAAAGCTTCATAGACCTTAACATCTTCTTGTTGACTTACTATTTGTTCTATTACCGATTGTGTAGCTTGATCAAGCTTAGATAAGTCAGGCCTTAAGTCCGATTCACCCTCACTTGTGATAACTTCCTTAACAATAAGTGCTTTGTTGACTTCTTCTATATTAATATCTGCCATTGTGCTTGAAGGAACCTTGTCTTTCATTAAGTCACCTAAGGTTTCATAAATTCCAACATCTTGTTTTTGAACTACTTTTTGCTCAGTAACTTGTGGCGTTGCCACTTCTCCTTTTTGAGCTTCTATTTTAAGTTCAGCTTCACTTTGTTGAGTTAAAACCTCAGTTACGCTAGCAGCTACATTTAAATCTTGTAAACCTGCATCAGCCACAAATGATTTATATGACGTGTCATCAACCTGTTGTCCTAATGCTTCCAAAGTTTTCGTTTCCGACTCTTCAATAGCTGTATGTTCAGATATCACTTGTTTACCTTGATCTGTTTTAGCTGCGTCAACTTTAAGTTCTGTTTCAGTTTGATTGGTTAGTATTTCTGTTATGTTTGCTATAGTTTTGGCATCTTCCAGACCAATTTTAATATTTAAGGTTGAAACTGGAGCTGTAGAATAGTCGCCCAAAGTTTCATAAACTTCAACATCTTCTTTTTGAATAGTTTCACGTTCAGGTATGACAGAAGTAGCTGAATCTTCTTTAGGTTGCTGTGTTTGTAGTTCAGTTCCATGTTGAGTGGTTATCACTTCTGTTACATTAGCTATACTTCCTAATTTCTCTAAATTGACATCGGCTTTGCCAGATTCAGGTAGCGTTCTTTCTTCGTGCTTGCCTTCTTTTTCCACAGCAGTATCTTCAGATTTAGCAGCTATCATGTGGAGTACATTTTCCTCAGTTGCCTTGTACTGCAAAGGTTTTTCAATTGTCAAAGAATCTATATCTTGTTCGCTGCGTATCTCTGATATTTCAGTTGCTTCTTGAGGTAAAATAACCTTATTGGCTTCAGCTTTGAATGCCACTGAATCAGAAAATTCCTGTTCAGATTCTCCAGCTAAGGTTTCAATTATTTTAACTGACTCTATAGGCAAAATTGACGTCTCGGCTCTCATTTTTTCAGTAGGTTGTTCGCTAAATGGTACTTCTTTTTCTTCAATTACTTGAGAAGCCACTGTAATAGAAGTCAACTGATCTTGGGTCAACTGAGCTGCAACTTCTTTGGGCTGGTCAGTTTCGAGCATGCCAAAGTTATCAAGAGGTTGCACTTGGGCGCTTGATAGAGCAATTAGTGGAGTGATTGAAGATAATGGTTTTTCACCTTGTTCTTTAAAAGACGTGAATTGCTTTTCACTTTCCTGTGCAGTTATTTCAGAAATTTGTACTGAGGATATTTCACTAATATCTACATTAGCAGTCTTTGTGTCAAGTTTTAATCTTTCCTCTAAAGGCTGTTCAGAATCATGCACTAATAAATTTGAAAGTAAAATACTTTCTAGAGTGTCTTGTATGGTAGTTGCAATTTGAGAATCCTTTTGGTCTTCTTTAAAATCTGCTAAAGCATCACTAGGTATAATATGAGATTCTACCAATGCCTTATTTTCATCAATTTGTGGCACTGCCTTTTCAAATTTGATACTGTCCTTTTTAAAATCATCTGAAGCCTCTTGAACTACAACCTCGGATACATTAAGAGAAATTATATTGTCAATTGTTGCTCCAGCCTTTTTAAATTCAGGTTTTATCTCTTCTTGCTGCAAGGAACTTTCTAAAATGATGTTTTCCGACTCGGTAACATAATTCAAAGAAGTTTGATCTGTAGTTGCATTAGCCTCTTTCGGCTTAGAATCTATATGCTCGGATAATTGATCTGAAGCATTTACTTCTGTTACTTGAGCAGTATTTTTCTCTAAAACACTTGCTTCAGCTACGCCAGATTCTGGAGATACTGCTTCCTCAAACTTGTCTTCTTTTTCTGCACTAATGATTTCACTTGTCATAGCAGTTTGGCCTTCTTTTTCCAATGCTACAGAAGCCGTTTTCTCATCTAAAGTTATCTTTTTAACAAATTCGCCTTCTTTTTCATTAACATCTGTAATTTCTTGCACAATTTGCGCCAGCTCAGTATGTTTGACATTTGCACTAGAAAATTGTGGCTTAAATTCACCAGAAACATCTATAGTGTCACTAGTAATTGTTTCAGTAACTTCTGGAAGTGTTTTTGTGTCCAATTCTACAATGGCTGTTTGTTCTTTGGGGGTATCCAGTAAATTTAGTTTACCTTCTTTGTCGTCCACATAAACTTCTGTTATACTAACAAGTTTTTTGTTCTTTTCTAAACTTACGTCAACTTTTGATGTTTCGGGCTTGAATTTCCCCACAAAATCTTGTTCTCTTTCTTCAGACATATTTTCAGTGATAATCAGGCTGGTGAGAACTTCTTCTGTTGGTTGAGCAACAAACGCTTCGGTTTCGCTCTTTTTAATGAAGCCTTGGTTTTCACATATGTCAATCATTTCACTTTCCGCAACTTTTCCGAATACATCAATTGCTTGAATAGCTTGTTTACTTTCTGGCAGAGAGAATTTTTCCAGGGCTTCTTCTTTGTACCCTAGAACAGTTTCTTCGCTAGAAAATCCTTCCGTTGGCTCCACAGCAATGTGTGCTGTTGAAGAGGTAGGGATTTGAGTTTCACTTAGTTCAGTTTCAGTTTCAATAATGGTTTGTTTTTCTTGTGTAACAACGTTGACAGGCGACACTGTGCTTACAGCAGAAATTTCAACCGGTTTATGTTCATCTAAATTTCCAGTAGCTTCACTGGTGCTAACTTCACTTTGCGAAGCGATAGCATTACTTTGTGTAAGACTGGGAGTAGCTTCTTTAGTGATTGGTTGCAGAGTACTTAACTCTGTTTCTCTATCTTCAACTGTCACTGACTCTACGGTAATACTCTGATCTACATCCATCGTTACAGTAACTTGTTGTTCGTCAGGTTTAACAATGTCAGGCCTCTTATCTTCATTTTCAGCTATAAGCATTTCAGTTTGAAGTGCCGTATACATTGCTGAAATTTCGGGAACGGCTTGAGAAGAAATCGTTTCAGTGACTGCAAGATTTCCAAGATTTTCATTTAAATCTACTTGAGTTCTTATAGGAATTTCATGTGCATGCAAATCAACTTTAGCCATTATTTCTAAGGGTTTTTCTTTGGCGTGTAAATCCTTTTCAGCCTCGGCAATGCTTATTTCAGTAACTGATATGCCTTGTTGAGAAGTATATTCTATTTCAGCTACTACTGTATCCAGTGGAGCTTTTTCGAAATATTTTTCATTATCATGAGGAATGGTTTCACTTTGTACAATGCTTTCAAGCATAAGCTGTTCTACGTTGGCATTTCCAGTTATCGGCTTTATATCCTCAACAGATTTTACTGTATCTTGTGTGGTAACTTCGCTTATTTCAGCTACAGGTTGTACATCAAACGTGGATATAGCCAATTTAGTTTCAACGTCACTAGTTTCATATTTACCTTCCTTTTCAGAGGATATAGTTTCACTAGTTTCAGCTGCAGTAATTCCTTCATAATCCACTCCAGCATTTTGCTGCATAGGTTTTGTTACTTTAGCTAAATCAGCTTCTTTCTCTCCTAATATTAATTCAGTGCTTGTTAATGATTGTAATTCAGAAGCTGTTGCTGAAGCTGTATAGCTTACAGGAGTGACTTTGTCAAGGTCACTAGATGTTTCTTGAGGTGATACTTTTTCCACCTGAATAGATTCTTGAGGTAGTATTGTTCTTTCTGCTTGACTAACATCGAAGTCTTCTTTAAGAAAATCTTTTTCTTTTATCGCCGCGGTTACACTAGTTACTGATATTGCAGTAGCTTCTTCAAAATCTGAAGTAGCTGTTCTAGTTTCTTTTGAATCTTCTACAATATTTGACTCCTGTTCAGTTATAACAGCTTCAGTAGTAATTACGCTATCTAAAGGAGATATTTGAGGTTTGGCTACTTCAGTTCTACGTTCTTCTTCTTCAATTTTCTTCACTGAATCACTTACATGTACCTGTTCTTTTGAAGCTATTGTATGAGAGGATATTGTTGGTTCTCCTCGAACACTTTCAGGTGAAGCTAATGTATCAAAATCACCCTCTTTTTCGTTAGGTAAAACTTGCTGAACATTTACCATAGTAGCTTCAGTGACAGTTACATCAGCCTGTTTGTAGTCTGGTTTAATATCTTCAGGTTTTTGACCTTCAATTTCACCCGGAGCTATTTCAGTTTGTACTATCGAATGGGACATATCTTGTTTTGAACTAGCCAGTTGTTTTTCTGGAGATATTCTTTGGTACTCTCCTGTGCGATTATCAGCTAATATTTCTTGTTTAATTGCTACATATTGCTCGTCAATTTCAATATTTGCTTTAGATGTGTCTAATTCTGGAACCCTCAATTTTGTTTCATTTTGGCTAGATACAACTTCAGTTATCGACACTGCCTCATCAGGCAAAATGTCTACATTTGCCCGCTTAGAATCTGGATGAATATCTTTCGATAAATTTTTCTCCACGTCAACTACATTCGTTTCAGTTACAATTAATTCTGTATAAGGTTTGGTATATTTTTTTGCTTTGCCGGTCATTTGTTCTTCAGTGATAATTTCGTCAGCATGCACTACAGTTTCCACTTCGCTCTTAACAACTACTTCTTGAGTAGTTAAAGTTGGCTGGGCAAAACCTTCTAAAGGCATAACATCAGGCGAATATTCATTTTCTTTCTCGTTTATTGTAACTTGAGAAACATTTGGTCCGGTAAGTCCTTCAGTCAAATCTACAGCTGCCATTTTGGTTTCGGCTCTTTCTTCGATATGTTCCAGTTCCTTTTCAGCAGTTTCGTGTTCTAAAACATAAACAGGATGAATTGCTTCTTGATCTTCCGTGGCTTGTTGCCCAATGGGTTTGATTGTAGTTAAATTATCTGTAGCAATATTTGGTTGTACTTCTAATTGGGTAGCTACATGAGTTGTGTCAAAACCTATACCCGCTTGTTCACTTTTAGTTTCTGTTGGCTTAAGTTGGTTCTCTTTATCATCGCTAAATACTTCGTGGACTTTTAAAGCTTCTTGAACTAGTAATTCTATAGCTGCTAGTTTTTCTTCAGGTTTTTGAGTTTCCACATCAACCAATCCTTCATTTGCAATAGCTTCGGATATAACGGTTTCAGTAAATGCTTGCTGACTCAAGCTAGCTGTACCTTTTTCAGTTTTTTCTTCCTTAAATTGATCTGAGCTATCTTCAGTTGTAACTATTTCACTTACACTTGTAGGCAGCATATGTGCGGAAGTAATTTTGCTCTTGTATGATTCAGGAATTTCAAATTCTTTCAAAGCTTTTTCACTTTCCATAAGTTGATCTTCACTAGCAGTTATATGTTCTTGAGTTTTTGTTAAAGTAGCATCAATATTACATTCTTCTGGTTTAGTAGTTTGTAAATTTACTTCAGATTCTCTAATTGTAGCTTCACTAATAGTTTTAGCTTCTAACAATTCAATTTGGGATGTCGCAATGTCGGTTTTGTACTTTAGTTCATCAGTGAATTTATTGGGGGTGTCTCCAGTATTAACTTCCTCAACTACTAGAGGTTCTTGAGGTAAAACAGTAGATGTTGCAAGAACCTTAGTTTGTTTTTCATCTAGAGCTAAATCAACTTCAGATTCTTGTGCAGTTACAAATGATTGTCCACTAACTTCAATTAAATTAAAATGTTTAGTTGCTGTTTTTGTATCAGCTTCAACTTGCTCATAAATGTTCTCTGATTCAGTTACTAAAGTAGTTTCAGCTTGAATGGACTCCTTAGGTAATATTTCCAATGTAGCTTCATATTTTTGAATATCCTCAGGTTTCATATCGTGCTGAGGAGCTTGACTGTCTATAGTGCTGACCACAACACCTTCAAAAACTGAAAAGTCTTCTTTGGCTGTGCCACGTTCAGGACTTAACGCTTTCGCAAAAACATTTTCTTTATCTTCAGTTTGGATTTCAGAAACAACAAGTCCTTCTTCGGTGTTTACGGCTAGATTGGCTAATTGCGATGCAGGTAATTTACCAGCGACAAAGGCACCTTCAATTTCTGGAGCTTGAACTTCAGATTGTACAACAGATTTTTGTGTCACTACATTTTTAGTGGCTACTTCAGTAGCTACAAAGGCTTGAGGCAGATATTTACCGGGTTTATCACCAGTTTGGACTTCCTCAATGATAACGCCTTCTTGGGCGTCAATGTTTATTTTAGGTTTAACACCTACGGGCTTAATAATATCCATTTTATCTTCAGACATTGCTTGTTGAACTTCTTCAACTAAAACTCCTTCATGAGGTACATAAGATTTTGTAGCTTCGGCTTGTTTTGGGGTAGTGAATTCATCTAAATTGATTTCTCTGTCTATAGCTTCAACTTCTGTTATGCTTTTAGCTTCTTGTGGGGATAATGTTATAATTGCTTGACCTTGTAGATTCTGTTCAGCAACAAAATCAGTTGATAAGTCTCCGAGATTAATTTCTTGTACAGTAATACTTTCTGTGGTTGTTAGACTTTGCTCAGCGGTAAATGTTGATGGTTTAAATGTAGAATCGTAATCACCAATTTGATTTTCAATATTTTGTTCTGTAGTTTGAAAAGCTTCTACAGCATCAATTGTTGTAGAAGCTTTTGAGAATATTGTAGAAGTTTCTTTATATTCTGATTCTTTTTCTACTAGCTTAGATTCTTCTTGAATCAATGCGTTATGTGGTAATATGCTTAATTCAGCTGTAGCTTCTTGAATTGAGCTATCCATAGTTACTGTTTGACTAGTTGAAAATATTTCAGCATTTTCACGTGGAATATGTGTTTCCAAAGGTATTTTTGATTCATACCGTAAAGGCTTCAATTCTTCTTCTTTTTGCTGAGTTTCAATTTGTTCAGTATTGAATGCTTTTTGTGGAATTAGCTCAATCGCTGCTTTAGTTTCTAGATGTTCTTCTATATCTAATGATGTTGGAGTGTCACCTAAATTGATTTCTTCTATGACTAAGCTTTCAGTAGGCACAATATCTTTCTTAGCAGTATAAGTTGTTGGTTGGAAAGTAGAATCGAATTCACCGGGCAAACTATGTGAATCAGCTTCAGAAATTTCTAAGGCCTCTAATTGATCAATTGTTGTAGAAGCGGTGGCTTTTAAAGGAGCTAAGTCTTTTTTGTAGTCTTCTGACTCTTGCGTTAAAGGTTGCTCTTGAGATATGGGTGTCAAAGGAAGAAGGTTAATTGTAGCTTTAGCTCTATTGACGTCTTGGTCAATACTAGCTACCTCCCCTGTAGAAATTGCTTCCGAAACAACATTGGACGTATTAAGTGGTATTTCAGATTGAGGTTGTGAATCAAAAGGACCCAAAACATCTAGATTTTCTTCGTCTATCGAATATTCTTCAATATTTGGTTTTTTTGTTTTTGATATTTTCTTAATTATTTTTCGTTTGGTAATTTCTTCTACGGTTTCTGTGTCAGTCTTTGTACGGTCTTCAGGTAAGTCAGTGATCTCGGTTATTTCAACGGAGTGTCTTTTGGGATGTGTTGCTTTGTCACCTCTAGTAGTACGTTCAACGATTTCTTCGATTTCGAGAGATTCTGTGAAAGTGTTTGTATGATAGAAGATGTGGTGTAATATTTATATTTAAAATAATTATACATATTATAAAAAGCGGCGAAATATCATTTTGGAGTAGGTCCTAATAGTCCTGGAGCTCGTGTACAAAAGTGCAACGACTAGCAGGTCGGTTCTTTATATTTTTATTCGATTGTACCTACATTATGCAGATACGTTTGGGGTGTCAGCTGGCTAGGTGGCGGTGGGGGTATTTGCTAAGGGGTTGTAAACACATCAAAAAAATCGTGACGGGAATCACTCCCAGGGCAGCACGAAACGTTTATGAACGGTACATTATGTTTCCCAATGAACATCGAACAATGTCAGCTAGGGGTGCGAACGAGTCCGAAAATGCGAATTTTCAAAACGATGTCGGGCAACTTGAAATTTGGGTGGATACTAATATTTTATACATGATTCACGGAAAAAGTGTCAGCTGCTCGTATGTCGGTGGAAAAGTTATCAGCTGGGGTCACAAAAGGTTCCGTGCGTAGACGCGCTGTTAGCTGCTGCGCACAACCTTTAATGCATCAGCTTACAATCTTTCCACCAACATACGAGCAGCTGATACTTTTTTCCGTGAATCATATAAAATATCAGTTTCCAATTAAATTACAGGTTTCCCGGAATCATTTTTGAGTGACACCATTAAATTGCTTTTCAAATGCTCTCAAAGATATACCGAATATTTCAATGTGATGGTCATTAACAAGTCTAGAGTATCTATCCATAGGCGTATTAAAACCATAATTTGTACGGTGAAAAGAAATATAAAAGGATCTGACATTTTGTCTTCTATTTCTAGTAACTATCTCAATATTGTTTTGACCTAACAAATCAGAAAAATCAAATCAACTGTACTACAAATTGTGAAAGGCTTTCGCGGCCATCGTCCAATGATGAGTGGGTTTTCGGGCTGTTCGGCCGTCGTCGTTGGAGATCGGTTCTCGACGTTTCGCCATCACGAGTGGATGGCATCTTCAGGAGATGTTGCTTGCTGAGCGACTGATTTGAGTCTCTCCTGAAGATGCCATCCACTCGTGATGGCGAAAAGTCGAGAACCGATCTCCAAAGACGACGGCCGAACAGCCCGAAAACCCACTCATCAATCAACTGTACTGTTAACAATACTATATACAGAAAAGTAAGCCTTGCAAAATCTCTTCGATCTGATAGAGTCCGCAGGTTAAGATGATTTTCTAGCCTTACATAATTGTGATTATCGATCACTATTCCTAGTTCAAATGCACAGGAATGAAGAAGCCTATGCTGAACCTTCTCAACTGTGTGACTGTGAACTGCATGGTACGGAGACCAAACAACTTCACCGTACTCTAGATTCGACCTCACCTCACTAATGCACAATAAACATTTCTAACAGTATCAATAGAGAAACTATTGCAGTTTCTTAAAATAAAACCCAACATCTTAGAAGCCTGTACCGTAGCTGTGTTTATGTAATCAACGGAAGTTAGGCCTTCATCAAAAATAACCCCCAAGTCTTTGATTTTTTTTACATATTTCAAATTTTCTCCATTGTTGAATAAGAAGTATGATATTTTATTTTCCCCTTACGAAAACTAATTTGATAACATTTTGAAATATTCAGAAACAGTTTGTTTGTACTGCACCAATCGTTCAACGTGTTCAGGTCCTCCTGCAGGAGCTGTTGGTCGGACAAGTCGTCAATTATTCTAAAAGCCTTGAAATCGTCAGCTAAAGCGAGACCCTCACTGTTCTGAAAGCAATCAAAAGTTGAATCAACAAACAAATAAAAAAATAATGAATAGCAATGCCCACCTTGAGGAACGCCTGATGTAACCAAAATTGCATCAGACTATCAGACTGAAAAGACCCTATTTTCACCTTCTGCCTATGATCAGACAAAAAACTCCTTGTCCAACCAATAGCCGCCGGACTGAAGCCCATAGCATGTAATCTATTAAGGAAAGTATAGTGATCCACACTATCAAACGCCTTCGAAAAATCAGTAAATATTGAATCAACTTGCCTAAACTCTTCCAAGGCTTTAGTTATTTTGTAATGATATGTGACTAGATTGGTTACCGTCGAACGACCAGCACAGAACCCATGCGGATTTTAATTAATTAACCTGGAACACATCCATTTCAACTGATCACTAAGGAGACTGTCAAAAAGCTTGGGAATCAATGATTTTATGCATACACTCCTATAATTAGTTACATTGTGCCTGTCACCACTCTTGAAAATAGAAACAATGAAACTATCCTTCCAAAGGTCTGGAAAGGTTGACAAACACAATGACTTGTTAAATATCATATGCAAAGGAACCACAAGAGTGCATAAACAATGTTTCAAAAAACAATTTGGAATTCCATCAGAACCCAAGATGTTTTTACTGGGAAGTTTAACTATCTTATTGTATATTTCTTCTTTAGAAATATAGGGTTGAAATTAAAGTTTTCTGATATATTAGATGGGGTGGCTAGTTCCAATGAATCTACAGTATTGCCTGGCGTATAGACAGTTTCGAAGCACGCTTTAAACAAATCTACAATGTCCTGGCCATTATCAGCCAATTGCTAACCATAAATCATGGACTGAGGAAGTGAATGATTTACTTTAAGATCTCTGACATATTTCCAAAAATACTTGGGATTAGATTTGAATTCATTGTCGACCCTAGCCAAATATTTAGACCAACATAGCTCACGTATTCTCTTGCAATCCGAGCGTAATCTAGAGAATTCTATATAATCACCCTGGGATCCTGATTGAATATTGAATGCAAATTTTATGTGTGTTCTTTTTTTGAACAGTAAGTTTTCGTAGCCCTGGAGAAAACCATTTCGGAAACGTACTGGTCCTGTATCTTGTTAAAGGCACAAATAATGATATGCTACATGCTAAAACCTCATAAAAATATTCTAGTGCCTTATTTACATCCTGATGTGCCAGACTCTTCTCCCAGTTAATACTAGCCAAAAAATTATTTAATGCCAGGTAATTAGCATTTTTAAAATCATAGTAAAAATCCTGGTAGCAGAGACCGTCACTTACATATTTCCAGTGCATATTACTTAAAATATATTCATAACTAGAATGATGAAAACTACTATCAAAAATAGGATCTCTAGCTAAACTTACAGTTACACTACTGTCACTTGTGAACATTAGGTCCAAAAACGCATGTCTACTGTTATTGGGTATATCCAACTTTTGAAATAAGTGAAGGTAACCAAACGATTTGCCAGACGTACGGCAAATGAAGTGCCAGGGCGTTCAACGTGAACACCAAAATTGTCATTCGACCATACAGCTTCAGGTAGGTTGTAATCACCAAAAATATAAATATACTGAGATGGATACCTATGTGATACATTTTCCACTACTTCACAATGAGAGCGATAATATAGGTCAGGCATACTAGGAGGAATATATAAACCTGCTATGACAAATTTTGAACCTTTGTACACACACGATATGAATAATCACAGCCCGACTCCACTTAACAAGCCGTGAACAAGGAAATCTGGCAACTCTGGTTTCAGATCAATCGACACATGTCTTATGATTTACCTTCAAGGACCTGTTACTCTGTTGTGTTTTTGTAAATAAATCATCTTTTTCAAAAGAAAATATTGTTAAGTGAAAGACTAAACCTGTAAAAAGTCTTACTGTGTGACATTTATAAGTGACCGGGACAGTTTTTTTTCCGCAGACATTGCGTAAAAACAGGAATATCCGCGAGTGAAAAGTGCCGGTGTTATAAAGTGCTTTCTTCAAAGTGAATGGCGGCGAATGAACTTGAAATTTTGTGGTGGTGCTTTTCAAAAAATAATCAAAATTGAAAGTGTGTTTTGATGGTTCGTGTTTCGCTTTGATTTTGTAGGTATTTTTTTAGTTTATTTTCGAAAACAATAACAAATATTAGCATTGGAAATTAACGTAAGTGTACCCAACATTTTGGAATTTTCTCGTTCGTTTTGGTTTTTGCGAGGGTTTTTGTTGTTGCATTGCATAGTTACCTAGCTGCCTGCTTATTAGATATTTAGTTACTTTTATTATTATTATTATCATTTTCCTGGTAATCTCCTCAATTTAATTAATTTACCATGCCAAGTCCTTGTTGTGTACCTGGGTGCAAATCCAATTATAAAACTTGCCTTGATGCAGGAGAACCAGGGGTATATGTTTTTACCTTTCCAAAGGACAAAAACCTTGAAGCCCGATGGCTTAGAAATATTCCTAGAGAGGCATGGTCACCCTCAAAATATTCTGTGGTTTGCGCTAAGCATTTTGTAGAAAGTGACATTATTGGAGAGGATGATTATCGCTTGCCAGATGGATCAATGCAAAAGGTACCTACTAAAACTAGACTAGAGTTAAATGCTGTGCCTAGTATTTTTTCAAATTTACCACATTACTTGTCAAAAACACTCCCGGTTCCCCGAAAAAGTCCTGCTGAAAGAACCAAGGTAATCCAGGATCGAAGTGAACAATTAAGTAAAGATTTTGAAAATTCTTACCTAATTATAAACTTTGATGATTTAACTTCAATTTAAAAATAAGATTATTTTAAATGAATCTTGGAATTAGATTTACTTCCGGTTTCACAAATGAACTGCGTAAATATTGGTAATCAGATTTCAGTAGGTTCAGATATGCAAATAAGTGTTTTTTTAAATAATAATGAGCTCTCTTTTAATGACCTAAAATGGGTTTTACCAATAGACATGAAATTAACCAGATGGTCTCAATTAGAAAATTTACTTTCTCGTTTTTGTAATAAAAATAAAGGTTCAGAATCGATGACTAATCCTCAAAGTTACCTAACAAAGGGATTGACGAACTAAAAAAAGCATTAAATTTTATTTCATCTGAACACGAGTCTGGATGAGTCAAATGAATATGATGATATTTATAGCATATTGGCACTTTTGGTCAGTTAAACTTGCTGGTTTTAAAAAAGAAACACTAGGTACTCAAGTAAAACAAT